GCCACGATTAATATTGCGAGTGGAAGAGCATTCGATTCCCTCAGGCAGGATACAATGTATGCTTTCTGAGCCCGCCATCGAGAAAGCCTCGTTAGGTTTAGCGAAAAGGGGGATCAGCCCTGACGGATCATCGGCAGTGGAAGTCGGAGTCGACTCAATCAAGGAGGGTTCCGAGTCGGGGAACACACCACTGTTTCTCCCATAATCAAGGGGTAACAGACTCAATTGCGTACGATGAGAACGAAAACATCGCGAACGCAGACGACACGACGTTCTCCCGAATCGTTCACAACGCTAGCATTCAGGAAAGTATTATCAGTACCGACGGATCTTTCCTTACCTTTTGCATGTCTCGCCGGAAGATGGTCGAGAATCATTGCCGTACAAATCACGGCTCTGTTTTCACAACAGCACAGCTTTCCTGCTTCCCAGCGAACAGTCATGGCTGCCGATTCCCGCCGATCTAGCGGAGACACGCTCCGTGCCTCTGCGCCGCTTGTGGACCTCACATGGAACTCATCCTTCGGAGCCTCGGAGGCACATGGAGCCGCAGCAAGCCATCCTAGATGGTCCCGCGATTGAGGCATTCTCCGGTAATTGAGGCGGCGGCCCGAGAGTTTTTTGTCGGATAAGTGCGCCTCTCGAGAATGAGAAACTGCGGGATCGCAGGACCTCCTAACAGAACTGAGGAAATTTCCGCGGACAGCGCGAAGTTCCGGGCTCCTTTCGACTGCGAGAAATCCCATGAGAACAAGCACGAAATATTTAGGTTATCCCAACGGTAGAGGTCCGGCACAACGCTCGTTTTGATGGGAAAATCGGATTCAGGCAGGATTCTGGAACAGATGACGGAACCGCGTGGCGCCCATCAGCGTAATAGAGAGGAAGGAAGCGGTGGGGGAGACATCAACGCCCGAAGTTGTGATATTCTTCATCCTCGGGAGACATCTGCGAGCATGGCATTACGCAGACCTCTCGCAAATCATGAAGTTCTAGCGGAATTCAGGACGGAGTTCAGCTACGAAGCGTCGAGCCAAGTAAACGCCAGAACCTGACCTTGAAGGCCGAAGTTTCCCGCCCAGGTATCAGAGGGGAAAGACGATATCATGGGAAGAAGGCTCGTCTTCCCTTAGGGGTATAGGACAATCCGCAGTTTGGACCTGAATCAACTTTCGCGATCCTTGATTCGCCTCGATGAACGATTGCGGGCAATGAGGGATATGTATGCCAATATACGATAACTCGAGGGGCAGTCGACTCCTAGCGCTAAGCAGAGAAGGAATGCTCAACACTAGGTTCCGACAAGATGCCCGGGATCCTTCAATCGACATCCGATGCCCGACATGCGGGGCCCCAGAAGCGGACCCACACATCGTACTGGAATGCGAAGAAGGACACCTCGACCAACGGGATTCCGCGTATCGACTGGGACTTCACCCAAATACTACGGTGGAGGTTTTCGAAAAGACGAAGAACACCTTAAAACGTTGGGAGAGCAAATGACTTGTTAATGCAACACAATCCACCCCTGGAAAGAAAGGCTCCTATATGGGAGGTCCGCATGAATCCAATCCAATCCAAAATTTTAGTCGAGCTTGGATCACGTCTGGTGACGCTGCGGTCTTCTCGTATGGTATCGACCGCATATTCGCGCAGATGCGCGAGTGGTGGTGATCCACGTACGAGGGTAGTTGGATCACGCGAAGTCGTGAAACTGGAAACCGCGTCTCACGTCCTTCGGATCGGTGTGTAGCAAATTCTACGTCCCTCGCAGTGATCTCGCCTTGTCGATCGGCCTCTCGGTAACATATTCATTGACCCAGTGCTCGCTTGAGGGTGTCTCTTGTTCTATGCAGGTCATCTATGTTTAGCGTTTTCCTTCTTTTCGAGTGGATGATTAATGTCTTCCCGCCTGGAAACCTCGCCAGAAAGGTCCTTAAAAATCCGCCCCCACCGTGACCGATGACTTTTGGATTATCGACCTCAGTGTCCAACAAAGGTGCTCATCTGCTATGGATTCTTCAGTCAGACGAAGTTGGCTGCCCCAGAAGGCCTCCCTCCGCTCTTGATCCACAAGAGACATCTGAAGTCTAATCTTGCGAGGATAGTAACATCTTCCGCGCGTGATCGCACCGTAAAAAGGATTCCGGGATCAGAGAAAATTCAGGAGATCGCAACGCGAATCCTGTAACTTGGGTTCGGAGCTCCTTTGATTCCAGCATTCAAGTCAAGCTAGCATTCGATCTGACAGAAGGAGGTGGAATTTTTCCCAATCGTCCGACGGAAGGGCTGCTGGAGACAGAATGAGGACAATAAGACTCTGACTCTAGGGTTCCTCCTGAACAGGAAACGCCGAGGTTCTGCTCGTATGGCCCATCCAGACAATGGAACATTCTGAAGGGTCGCATCATTTCCTCTCGCGAGATCCAAGCGAATCGGATTTCGCGTCAGATAGAGTTCCCGCCATGCCCCCTCCGGGAATTTAAGTCCCTCGGAATATCCTCTCGAAGCAAGAGTCCCTCATAGGATCACCGGCAGAAGACGACGAAGGCGCCGTGAGAGTTCGGCATCGATGCAAGGGGAGGAGCCGACAAGGGCACTTGAGAGGAAATCTGAGAAAAAAAATCCCGTCGTTCGTAATCGAATAAATTCAGAGAGTCGAATTTCGCTTTCCCCGCCCCGCTCATTGCGGCTGAGATAAGAGCAAAATACCTGTCAGACTTGATTGAGACTTATTCGTCATGAGGGATCGTGATTGTGCATCATATCCCAGCGGCGTTGAGATCGGCTCGGAAGAATTTACGTGAGTCTCCAGCGAGGTCAGTTTCTCCTGAGGATAGGCGCCGTCAAGAATTTCCGCAAGCCCATTTACGCGGAGCGGTCAAGGGAGGATACCATGTGGACGTATGATTGAATTATGAAGCTAGGGGACACTTTCCTCTTCATTGAATCGTCGGGGAAAGTTCCCCTCAAGGGGGGGGGGGGTGCCATGGCACTGGGCGTGCCGGCTTCCGTGTCGCAGATTCTGCGGGGGCGTGGTATGTCCGTGGGAATTACCAGGCCGTTGATTGCATGGAGCTAGGCACTCAGGATTCAGGAGGTCCAGTAGAAGGGAGATTCATATGATGAGGTAGGGCGGCAGATGAGGTTACGGTATGTGGAACGAGCCGAAAGGCTAATTTTTTCGCGGCCGAAAAACTGCTCTCCCTCTCCGAATGCTTCTGCCCCCTACAGAGAGCTCCTGAACGTTCTTGTCCTTCGTTCCCTGAAGGAAGGCAAACAAAGGATGGATCCCGCGGCAGCGTGAACGAGACGCCCGAGTGATACCCGATGAATCTCTGGAGTCCGGCACGCAGCGTAGTTTGAGATGAACGGAGGTCTTTGAGGGCGTCATCGGTTCAGGGCAACTCTCCCTTCTTTCTCTGGCCTCGGCCGTTCATGTCGTTAGAAAATCCTGAATTGCTGGAGTTTGCCTGCCGACTGCCTAGAACACAAACCAAAATGTTTCCCCGAGCCTCTTAACGGCTGTGGGAGGCGCGATTTTTCTTCGACCGGATTCATGAACAAGTCGATTCGACTTTATTCGTATCACCGAGTCGGCTTGATCAAATCGACTTGACGATATCTGACTCCTCCCTCTTCTGCGAGAATTCTCGATTTGCTCGTCCCATTCCCTATTCTGTTTCGACCCAGAACCATGGACTGACTCAGTGAGACTCCGAGATTGGCCCCGTGACCTAATCTGGAGCGGTTATGTGCCTGCGTTGCTCTTGCGACTCCGCGAAGCCGCCAACGACACACGTTTTGTGCTCGCAACTATAATTATAAGGGAACGAAAGAAAGAGAAGTGATCCTCCTCGGTACATTTGCTCTATGGAACCGTCCTCGGAAGCAATGTGAATAACAGTACCCGGGACGTTAAATCTCGGCTGTGTGGTTCAGCCCGAAATTTTTTTTCTTTTAAATCATTCGTAGGGATGAGTCAAGAGTCCGCATAACATCGGCCTAGCCGACGCAATCGACGAGGAGCACCCATCATGAATGAGGGTACTCCAGGCCGTAAATCACCGAATGTTGTCGTGATAGAGCATGCTCTCTCAGCTCCGGATCGTTACTCCGCGTCGCACGCGGAGAATCGAACTCGTCGGTGACTCGGCGGATCCGGAAGTCGGCACCGTAAGCGTAGATCAGAAGTGACCTGAAGCGGATTCGCTTTTTTCCAGAGGGAAGCTTCGTCGCTGGATTGGGCGATCCGGGGACTGCACCGTCTTCGTAAGTCTATCACCAATAATCGACAATGCAAACACGAACATATCCGCTTGTGTTGACTGACTAACGAAAGCTGTCTGATTTCGCGGCGTGGAGTCCTTGACACTTCTTCTGGAATCGGCAGTCAACGGAAGACTGCGCATTTCCCCGATGATTTCTCTTCTAATATCTTCACCCAGCGACGTCTCTGTCCTGCTAAAATGAGCCTGTCCAGTTACAGCTCCTGGGAATTTGGGCGAAACAGTGTGCGTTTTGTGACGGGGTCTTACTGAATTTTCCAACCCTCGTGCGAGATGACGCGAATCGCGGGAAACACCCCAATATGCGTCATATGTGGAATATATTGCTGATATAAATCGAAATGTCTTTCTTTGTGGTATTGACCATCGTTTGACCACCGCGGGAGCATAATCGCTAGGTGAACGTTGATCCGTGATACATGAGTTCCCTGAGCATTTCTATTTGTAACAAGAGATCACGGTCAGGGAGAACATGTTTTGTCGACGAAATTTGTCGTGTTTGCTTGGTCTGGAAGAGTTTTCCATCGAGTGGCGGTTGAGTGGTAGAGCCTTCTTTCAGGTCTTCCCCTCGGTCTCCCACTTCCCTTTCCCCTTGTAACAGAGCGCCCGCTCTACGGAACAAGACCGCAGACCGGGGTTTGGCGACGAACACAGACTTATGCGTGACCATCTCCAAAGATAGTGAGTGAGTTACTGAGGTGTTTCCCGCAGGGCCTCACCATGTTTTGGTGTGTCACGTTGTGTGGCGCCCTGCTATACGCCACACACCCAGTGACAGGAGTGAATGTCGACGTCGACAATGTCCTCGTACACAGTGGAACCGATCAATCAATGTTCGGCTTTTCGGTGGCCATGCACATCTCTAACGGGAGACCAATGTGAGTTAGGAATCCTGACGTGCGGGAAGAACTCTTCCCAGATCGTGCTCGATTAAGGACTATGGAGGAATCCTGGGAAAAGTTCCCGAAGTCCAGCAGTATCGTTTCTGCGCTTCAGTGGTCGCGCGGAAGGTCCGGATAGATAATTTCACCGCTTCATTCAACGGAGTGACTGGTCCTCCGGTTTCGAATAGAATACCGTGGATCATGATCATGTGCTCAGAACTCCCTGATCTCAGCGAGAATATCGAATGAAAGAGTCCCTGACGAGGACATTATGTGGGATTGTCGGATGCTTTCCCCGCGGCCCCCTCGAATTTCTCGCGGAGTCCTCTACAATTGATTCCAGTAAAATACCGGTATCCGGATTCGTCTCCCGGACTGGGATAAATGCAGTGGCCTGCCTCGTTCATGGCCCCGGAGCCTTGAGCAACAGTCGCCTGCTAGGTAGAGAAGAAAGTCATACTCAGACTCGGACACCGAGCAGCACCGCTGGGAGGAGCAGGAAGTCGCCGGCCGGTGCTCACGACACGAATTGAGCCTTTTGAGTCTTTTTTGCTGCTCTCGTTCGTTTGAGAACTTGTCAGAGAGGTCGCTCGATTCGATCATATGGGTAGTCATCGAGTGCTTCTTGTCGTGGGATGAACGGCGCGAGATAATTATGGCTCAATGATTGATACCCGTTTAGAGACGCTTCCTCCAACTCATCGGAAACAAAGTAACTCCGCTTGCTTGTCGGTGAGCCGAGATGACGAAATGCACCATCGTAGACCGAGTTTGTTTTTTGCGACATCATACAGTTGATATCAGTTTTTTTTGTCCACCGTCTCACGGCCGGGGGTCGAAGTCGGTTCGTTGATCATGGGCGCCGGGTTGTGGCTTTAATGATTTCGCTCAGCTTTCGGAGCTCGATCCTCCAGTCGACGGGCGGAAAAAATAGCTCGAGTGTGACGCTCGAGCAGCTAGCGGCTCTGAGCGCGAGATCCCCGGAAGCGAGACTACCCACACTCTGGAGGATCAACCCCAGAACCCATCTATCCCCCAGGCTCGTTTTGAGAGCGGGTGTCCCACAGTTGGTTTTCTGAAAAAAGAAGAAAAGACAAGCCCGGGTCGCGGTATTCAACGACCTTCCTGGAGGAGAGGGAGAGAAGAAGAGGGATCCGATTTCCGAAACGGAGCGACGAAGAACATTTAGAGGATCCCGGAGTCATTCCTGCCGATGTCGGTGGGTCACAATCGGAATCAAATATAGAATTGGAACAGCTCCGAGGAATTTCCGAAATTCTCGAAAGAAACACTGGTCTGGAGTCCGCGAGCGATATAAGAGGTTCTGCCGGTCCGAGACAGTCGCGATCATGATTCGAGTGATGCCTGGAGAACGAGAGGAAGCTTGACGTATCGGCCGCTCCGATAGCGGCACCGGCGTGGGCCCTCGGGCTCTCAGGTCGAGTTCGACTAATTGATATAAATGTTCGTCATTCCGTCGCTCCTCCACAGAGTCACGTGCTGTGTCCGGCTCAAGTATTCTGATTGAGTTTCAGAACTCTAGAAATGAGTTCCACCGGAGCCTATGTTATTCAAACCCCACTGGCGAATTGTTGAGCGGGAAATCGGAACGTAAAGCACGAAATCTACATGAGTCTCGGTCTCAAGGAAATTATTCATTCTGGTTCATGTCGCTTACCTTCGGATCGGACAGATTCGAAAATAAGCACCGCCGATCCGGAATGTTGTTACCGGAAATTGCGCTCAAAACAGGGAATACGAAGCGTAGCTAATGTCTTAAGCTAGCGCATCCTTTCTTCGCGCATATCCTCGGAATCTTTGTCTTGACTAGCACAAAGCGGCCGATTCTGTCTCTTCCTATTGAGACCATGTGTTCGACGCTGTCACAGGGTTTTGGCCTCTATCGCCAAACTCACCGCAGACCCATGGTACCGCCGGTGCTGCCGCACTTGGCTGCCACAGGGAAGGCGCTCGATGCTCGTTTCTGGATCCCATCTCGCGGTCCCTGAAAAAGTGAAACTTTACGGCTTTTATGGTCGCTCATTGTAGTTCAGGTCCTAGATTGGATCCGAAACCCTCCGGGAGTGTGTGCGGGAAAAATGGCGGACCTCTTCGAATTCCAATCCATTTCCGGAGACTCGATCACACAACGCATCTGCATCGTCACACTGGATCGAGATGATCACGTGCGGATGCCCTTCGAAAAAACCCAGAAACGATCTCTGGTCCCGATAGGAACTTGGGCGGGCTCCGACCTTCCGATCGCCTGAATACGGCGATAGATACGATACATCCGACAGCGTCGGGGTCACGGCGCGACGATCTGCCGTCCGCTCCGCGATGCTTGCACAAGTGCGAGGTTTCGCGGTCAGCCTGACCGCCCTGGAGAACAATATTTGTAAGCGCCTACTGGTTGCGGCTCCGCCGCTAAAAGAGGAGCTTTTAGAAAGCGAAATTTTCCAGCGAAATTGGTCATGCGGAGGATGCCCTACCTGGAAATATGCCTGGGTTTCTGATGAGCGGCCAGTCAGCTGGCTCGATTCCGAACGAGAGTCGCGATGCGTCATCGGTTTTCAGAGAATATCACATCTTGAAGAGATTTCGTGCCTTACCACTACAGCCACGCCTTGGAAATGCTGAATCTTCAACCAGTCCTAGAAGAGTCGATTGCGATATGTGAACAAAGACTTTCCTTCGAACGGATCGGACATAAGCGCTGACGTAGCCGATCAGAATTCACGAAACAACGATCAGAATCATCTGGAGAGCGTCTCTGATAAGGGAACGAAAATGTCTGTGATCCGCTCCTCTCCATCAGCTCTTGAATCAGTGAAATATCCATGGAAGATATTGAGATATTCGACGATTCGGGAAGAGGATCGGGAGAAAAATCGTCTGAGCGAATCACAATCACTGCATACGAGTTCGGGTCGGAGGGCGAACCTCGAGCGGTTGAACAGAAATCCACCTCGAGTCCCGTCTGCGCGCGGAAAGGTGAAACTCCTTCTTCTCCGGTCTATCGAAGCCACTCCCGCATGCTTGTTGCGGCTTGGAGGCATCAGCAAGACATCCCGAGGAGGTCTCGTGCGGAAATGTCCGATGTGACTGTGATCTCGGTGCTCGAATAAGTGTCATAAATTGATTGGGCGAAATTCACGTGGTCTGATCAATATGTACTTAGCCGAATGTACCGGAATTTGCGTGATAGGGAGGGGTGCAATCGACGGGCGGCTCTTATCGGGGATTCGCGTCTCACTCCGATGCCCCACAAGAAGATTATCGACCCTAATATTCCTTATTATATGAGATGCTCATCAACCAGGGGACGTTTACATCGGTACCCGTGAAAACGGAGCTCTCTTCAAACAAGTGGCCGAAGGGGAACGATATTTCCCTCATTTGCGGGATTTCGGGGCAAAACTCCATCTGAATCGTCTGACTCCTCCCGAAAGCGTAAATTCACTGTATGTGTGTAAGTGTAGTACGTAAAGATTCGAAATGCGTTGTTTTCCCTTCCTTGGAACTCAGCGTGTCACGTTTCGTGGAAGCCTGACCCGGAATGACAGGCTGTCATCTAGGTTCTTCGCCACGCAGCCCGAAGCTCGCCTTCTGTGAGTGATGGTAATCGGAGTTTGGCGAAACGTAACTTCTTGCGAGATTCCCATTCAGTCGTGGGAGAATCGCTCCCGAGCGTCGCCGATTCGAACGATGCTGATGATGGCGACGTGCAGTTGTTCTTTTTTTGTGGGTCTCTGTGATTTCAGGGCTCAAGTCCGCTTGCAGCAGTGAAGCAGGCGGGCTAGTTGGCTGCTGCTGCTGCTGCCTCCTTCCTGCCTCGCTGCCACTCTGTTAGGGCATGCGTCCCACGCGGCGCCGCCAACGAAGGCCGCATGAAACCGCCGCTCACTCGTTCTTCGTGTTGGCCTAGCCTTCCTGACTGCTCGTCTGCCTGCCTGCCTGCCGGCCGGCCTGACTACACTGCTTGCCTGCCTGCCTGCTGGCCAGTGAAAGCTCAGCCGCTGTAGTCCCGCAAGGAAGCAGGAGCCCTGAGCAAGAGCACCGGCACCGTGACCAAGAGCAGCAAAGGTGGCGACGCTACCCTTCCTCGGCAGACCGACGAGCGCGCGCAGAAAGTAAACATCGGCGCGACTCCGTACGCTCGATGTAGTTACTTACCCGCGGTCTGAGGTCTCGCCACCGACGCAATTGTGTCCAAACCTGATCTGTCCATACGAGGTGGCTCACGGCCACTCATCGCTTTCGGCTCTGTATCTAGGTGCTCTGTTCGGAACTGTCAATGTCCGCGTGAGACATTGAGAAATCGCGTCGATTGTATGTTCATACCTGGTACTGGGCCTATTATTCTCTCGGGAGGGAAAATTCGATCCATCCTGGAAATCGATTCTCGAGAGGGAGCTCGACCGATTCTGTATTCCGATTATGACCGATCGATCCCGACTCGACCGTTTTTGAAAACGTCCGAATACAGCGCATTCAGGAACTTCTCTGTTTGTCGCTCAAGACTGACTTCATTCACCCGAGGAGGAACACCAGAAATCTGCAGCTGCCGCCCCTGCGGTCCCACCTGTTGGAATCAGTTGTTCACTCGCAAGCCGATTCAATTGAGCGTCCGGGGATAATTTTCTTAGCAGGCCTTGATTGACTTCCAGCATGTGGGAACGTTCAGATTGTTCAATGCGTGGAACGCCGCCTGGCCCAGTTCGGCGTGAGATCCGATGGTTCACACGTGACCCCATGACGGAACCCACTCTGATTTATTGATGTTTCATTGTGTGTCTCGATCACCGAGAGATCTCTGAGTGAGAGAGTTCCTCGAGCCGCCGGAAGCTTCTCTGTTTTAGGGCGACCGGACACACTTTCATCGGAGCGGAGCGATTCTGGCGGACGGGCACGCTTAAAGCTTAGGGCTCCTTTCGCGAAGAGGAAGAGAATCCAACTTCACTCTATGGGTCCGAATGTCAGTTGGATCGATTTTTATCTGGACATCGACGGCAACCCAAAAATCGAGCTCAATGAATTCGATCATCTTGAGTGCTCTCACTCAGATTATGTAGATCATCAGGGACTCCGATTTCGAGTTTTACCGGGAATTTTCGCCCTGTCATGAACTCCGATCCACACGAATGCCCTCTCGTATCAGGAGCCTCCCCTGAAGTAGGCTATCCCGCTCGCTAATTCTAATCCATGACCGACATTCTCGACGGATTTGGCGTTCGCGTCGTGAAATTTCGCATCGTTATCATGATAGCATATGTGGGAGGGAACGCTAACGGAGATCATCAGGTCATACGATCATCGAATGATTGAGCGTTTCTGTCATATTACTACGGCTTCCACGATCGAGGGTACGAGCCTTGTGCCGGGTCAGAAGTCTCTGGTTTTACTCTCACTTTCGCTCTCGCGCTCGCTCATCCATCCTCTCACCCGGCTCGACGACGAGGACCTCTTGTCAGACCTTAGGCGGGTGGTTCAGTCCGAAGCAAAGTCGCCCACTGTCGTAGACTATAACAACGACCCAGTAGCGGGCAGGAAGACGAGCCGTAATAAAGATATTGCCTATAGCCGGCCACTTTCTCGGTCGCTCATGTCAGACGGGGGAGCTGACACTTTATAAATTACCTCAAAATGCTCAAAAACCGGAACACGATTCTCTCTTGACCCCGTTGTTGTTGTTCTAACATCATTTCGACAATGCGATTTTTATGCTCCGTCTCTTCTCTCCGTTTGCTTCGGACCACAAGAAAGCACCGCCATCCCATGTGACTCGCCACAATCGATGATCGATGCGCGACTGAACGGAGTCGGAAACTCGCCTGAAAGTCGGTGCGGAAGAGAAAATCAGTCGGGATTGAGTTCAATCGTTTGCCGATTTTTCGATTTAATGAATATCCCCGAAGTATAAAGAGATTCACGGAGCTGTGCATGCACCGTTGACTCAGTCAGCGCTCGGCGCTCATCGGATACCTTGAGGACACATTCCATAATATATCTGACCGACGCTCCTGATCTGAGAATAAGTCTCGATCTTGATGGGGCGCTTCGGACCCCGTCGTTTCGTTCCGTCGGGCGTGAATGAAGCACACAGATGAATGAGCTTAGCTGAGCAACGAGCAGTACTCTCAAAATGAAAAAATGAAACGAGCTTCCGTTAGCTGAGATTGGGTACTTCCTTCGACGATCAGTACGATCAGGTTTGAGAAATCGAAACGTCTCTGAGGAAGTTGGCTACGAAAGCCGATCGTTCTATGATCGACGATGATTGACAATGAGCGGTCGTTTCTCTCTCGAACAGTAGCGAACGACAGCTACTGGCAGGCTGATGTAACAACCGTGGTGAAAATGTCTGTCGAGGGTGTGTACGAGCACTCCACCCATTTTCGTCACTCTAAGACAATATTCTCAAATGGCACGGAACACAATGAGCCTCGTAACGTACCCGACCACGAGCAGTTCGATTCGGTCGCGTGGTAGCCGACAGTGCTCGGAGCTCTAACCGGTCACGGCAGGACGTCACGGGCCCGAGAGCTCGTCTAGGACACGGGCGGCCTGGGATGCTTTCAGCGCGCTGGTCGGCAGCCTTAAAGTCTCTGTTCAACTTGTGCATATCATGGCTTTGCAAGGAACGGGACATTCGATCCTGCTTCAAAGTCTCTGTTCCACGACTCTACTGCGAGAGAACTGAACGACTGATCTCGGGAAACGAAACAGAGGGGCGACATGTCGGATAAGAAGCATCCAGGGTGAGCTTGAGGAGAGATTGACTCCTATCCGGCAAGAGTTTCAGATTGATTACGATTTCGGAAACCACTGCAAGTCCGAGATCTTGAAGAAGATCTTATCGTCGCGAGTCCACCCTGATCTTCGGGCTCTGTTACATAATGTATTCTGCATGACTTCATTGGATAGACATCCGCTCAGCGAGCGTGACTCTGTTCATGCACACGCCTTATTTATTTCAACAATTCCTTGACACTTTTTCTCTTTTGTTTGTCCCTGGATTGAATGTTTGTTTCGGTGCACTCACTGATCGGAGACTGGCGCGTTTCCCACGACAATTTTCGCTCTGATTCGATGACTCAATCGAACCGGCATCGCTCTATTCGCGGAAATTCTGTATTCCGCGAAGACGTCGTGCTCCATTTTGCAACTGATTTCTTGAAGGGGACAATTCGGAGATCGGGGGTGCTCAGAAGATGAGTGATTCGGATCGGGCTATCGCGCTGAATGCTCAGAAAAAGATCCGTCTGAAGAGGAACGAAGGGAGCAACTGCATCCGAAACAACGCCTGGCGCAAGCGATCACTTTCGAACATCATCGTCGACACTCGTTTGACGATTTCGAACAGTGGTTCGGGTCAGAGCTGCGTCTGGGAAGCATTCGTTTCCTAAAGTACTGACAATCCATCGTCAAGGTAGCAGACCTTTTATGGAAGCCGAAGTGAACCGGATTGGAAGGCATAAATCCAATTGTCGCCCCAATCCATCTGCTGACTGTCACCGGGCGAGAGCTGTCAGGAATTTTCGTCAAGAAGAAAAACATTTCTCTTGGTGACAAGCCGTGAAACCCAATCTCGACCGAGCCCAGAAGATTCCGATTCTCCAGGGAACGATTTTTTTTTCGACCAGCACACTTGCATGTTCTGCCTTCTCCAGTAATCGGAATGGTATCCTTTGATTTGCGGCCCACTGGCTCGGGAATCCAAATGGATTCATCTCGAACTGATATCAGGACCAAGCGCGCTTGACGGAATGTGTCGAAATGCATCATACGAATGGAATCGAAACTTTGTTAGCCCAAGCTAGGAATCGGGATCCAGAAACTTTCGAACTATTAGTCGTTACACAGGCTTGAGGATGAGGATCGTGGTGCGCAGATTGCCGATTACGATTCATTTCCATAACTTCGTGATGCACTGAAGCTCCTATGCTATCCCATCGGGAACAATATTCTGAGCAGCTCAAATGATAGACTTAAGCAGTTTCATCCATAGAGTGAGCTGTTCCCCTCCGAACAGTTTCAAGTTCTCGAAATCGGCAAATTTTCTTATTGAAACTGGCAGTCAACCCGTCCGAATGGACAGCTATTCTTTTCGACAAATCCACCCCCATCTCCAGGGGGAGGAGAGGGCGATCTAACTGAGCCCTCTCGATCATCCGATTCTCAATTAACCAATCTCCGATAGCCGTACCAATGAGAGGTTAGGTTAGTTCCGGCTCGCTTAGCTATGACGGGCGAGCGCGAGCGAGCAGGCCCGTAGAGTGAGTCTATGAGAGGAGACTGAACCCAAGAGGGCCCCTGGTCTACGAAGTTGCGGTGAGAGCCGAAGAGCGCTGGCAAGCAGTCCCTTCCCTCTGTGAGGTGGTTCGTGAACCTGGAGAAGTGTGCTAATCCCGACGGCGAAAACCATTCAGCTCGGAGCTCTATCCTAACAAAAAAACTGCAGGCTCCAATCAAACTGCCGATGAGAATTAAAAAAACTGCCTGAAAACTTCCCTGAACTTCATGAAAATGATACAAGTTCCATCGTCTTATGTTACCGGCTTGTCACGGAGAACATCAAGCTCGACTGAAGCAGTCTCCGGCCCCGGAGGTGCTCATTCCCTCGGAAAGTCGTGAAAGTTTTGTGAAGAGGGAGTTCTCGGGCTCACCAAGCGAGGATTTCATTTTCACCAGAGTTTTCGTTCTGGATTAATCATCATCGATCCACATATGAATAGGGATCCGGACGCTATCTTTCAGAGCACTAAGTAGGTACGCGAAACGCGCTGGACCAATAATTCCCCCCCGTCGATGCTTCTTTTCCCTGGCACATGGGGTCTCATTGTAGTCGTTATCGGATTTCTGGGTCACTGGAGAGCTGAGAATTCAGATCCACACGGTCTCCGCATCCGGGTGGTTCGCATTTTCTCGATATTAAGTTCTGGTTTCCCTTCACAGGCTCTTGGTGGGCGCGCCAACGGCAGCTTCGAGTCGACCGGACTCGTCGAACGGCGGTGCCGTTTTCAGTTGCTCGGTGACCGCAGAACTGTGTCAAAGAGTCGAAATGGATACCGAGGGCATTCGGAGAAATAAATCAGGAGACGCTCTAGAAACTAAGTCGCACCAGTGGTTTGGCAGCACTCTCGTGAGCGGGGGAGAGGACGGTCACGTTTTGGTGAGTTCAGATTTGTTTTTCCAGCTTCGACTGTGGGAATCACTCCGGCTTATCGATGTCAGATGCATGAATGGAGATCGGCATGCAGCGTGATTCCCTGATTGCACAGCAGAACCACCATGGAACGGGAAATCATCCAAATCCATCGAATTCAGACTTCAGCCATCCATTGTTGGTAGAGCCTGACTCTGATGCTCGGAGATTCCTCGACTTCGGGGTATACGCATATTTTTTATCGGATATCCGAATGTCGAGGCGACCCGGGACGAGACCTGTTCCCCGTTTCGTGAACTTGATTCCTTGCGAAGAAGCTGGTCGGGCGCATCCGATATCCCGGTATTACGCAGGATGCAGGGGGTTTTCATTGGCAGATTCCATGAGGGGTGTGCGTAAGCAACAATGCGATGCCCGATCGGAGGCTAAGCGGATATTGTTCTTCTTGCCCTCATGATCGGCACATATTATGATCGTTCGGATCTGACGTAGCTCACAGTATTTCGGCGCACTCCCAGGCTATACCCTCCGGTTTCGTACGATGCCGCTCGTAGTCATAAAATTTATGGTGCCAGAACCCCCTGATCATAAATCTCTTTTTTCCTCCTCATGCTCCTCCAATTGCTTCTTTACGACTACACGCTTGTTTTCGGGAAAAGAACAGTGACTGGAAGAAATCCAAGCTCAGAATAAACATACCGCACTTCGGATCCCACCGAAGAATGGGAGTCGGATTTGGGTTTCCCTCAAATCCATAATCGGACTGTTCAGTTCGCTCAGCAAGGCTATATTATAGATAATTATGAGAATTTGTATTCAATAATAATATTATGTTATTAGGATAATAGCGATTTCTTTATAGTATTGGTGTCAGATGGTGGACCTCGGAGACCATTTCTATCGGTCGGAAGGTCGAAGTCGGGCCGGAGCGCTAAAGGAAGTCCATGTTCTGGTCGAATCCAGGAAGTCTTTTTTGCCGAACATCTGCTTATCCTTTCTCGGGGATCCATCGAGGTTCCTCTATATATCGAACTAACGAGAAGGCAGACCGTATCGACTGTTTGCATTACCAGCGTTCGGCACCCCAGAGTCTGTTTGGCTCTCCCCCAAACAATCGACAGTTTACAAAAGGACTGTTCGAACGACTATGAGTTGGTTGGCGTTGAGTATCCGCTCTTAATGTTCTCCGCCGACGACAGCTGGAGTCTGCTGTAAACTATTATAATTTTCGACAGCCGCTCGGACCTCTTTTTCATTGGAGCAGACCGGGTATCGCCGCTTGTGTGCGCATGAGATTTTCCACCTCATACTCTGAATTCGACTCCAAGACGGCACTCCGATGACGAGTGAGTCATATAACCTTAACCGAAACGCGGTTCCAATCAATTTCCCGAGCGGGCGATCAACAGACTCTCATTGCCGCGATGTCGGGGGATCACGAATCGACACTTACATAACGAAGTATGGATTTGAGTCGAACTCGTGAAGGCAATATAAAACTGAAATAATCGACCAACGAGTCGCACGCTGACGATGATACCTTGACGGCCAATGAATAGAATTCGAATGCTCCATGGACGTGAAGCGCTCCGCAATCGAAGCGACGGTTACGTGATACGTTGCTGCAGAAGTCTCCAGCTTATGATATCGGAATCGAAAGCCAGGCTCGCTCGCGGCGCTGTTGATCACCGACTGGAAATCTCCATTCGTTAAATTAGCTTAACCAGTGAGCCCTGTGCCAGCGACCAGGAGGGTCATGCTCACGAACTTCAAGCGAAGCCCTGGCCTTGCGCCGAGCTCGTGAATGAGATTCGGACTAAGAGCCCTCTTTTCCCCGGAGAGTCAGTCAGTCAACCGGGTAACCGCCCGCCCGTTTGCGTCAACGACCACGCGGATGACGACGACGCATTATGAACTGAACAAAGCAGATCGGCAATCGGGTTGCTTTCCAGAGGAGTTGAGTAAAGCCTGCGTGAGGAAGCGGTGTTGCGGCCAGTGTTCTAGACTGCCGCCGTCTGCTTAGGTGACTGCTTGAATCAGCTTGGGTACTTTCCCGGTGCTGCTGCCTAGGTGCCGCTAATGCTCAACACCCGGGCCTGCAGGCTGGCCGTCTTCAGCCTACGCTCTCACTGCTGTTTCAACACGAGCTGTTCGCGTTCTCAATGGCGACAACGACGACGACAGCAAGCGGCAGACAACGATGCCGCTTCTTCCTTGTCTGGATCTTAACCACACGCGTTCTAGTCAAAACCGAAAGAGATGCGTAGGGACGATGACCGCGAGACGGAGGGAGAGCGGTAGACTTTTTCTCTCGGAAGTCGTCATTTAACGCCGCGCGAGAAGTTTAAGGGAAATCTCGCGAGTCGGAGACCCACTGCCGTACTCGTGTTGGTATGTATTTGTCAGAGTGCCTCCCACACAACGCCGATCGAAGACTGCGCTAGAGGCTCGGTGGGGGAGATCGGCAACTCGGAGAGCAGCGACAGCGAAGATTCCCGAGCGTGGATTCTGACCCTTTGTTCTCGCGGGACGATTCAGCATTTTGTCAGTTGTCGAACATGATGATCATGACAGATTGCAGAGTTCGCGAGCATCGAGTGTCTGTTCAGAAAGGATCGGCTCGGGATCGACCGGCGGATCTGAAAGAATAAATTAGAAAATGAATAAGTTAGAAAGTCGCTGCGATGAAAGAAGTATCTAGTGTAAGGCAGTCGTGGATAGCTCGAAGACTCACTCTATTACAGGCATGCGCGATCCGGTACCAACACCACTACAATGGCGACAGCAAGCTCTACCGGTTACCAATCGGGAATTGTTTCTTGTCGGACAGCAGCTTTAATCCGGTGACGCGGATATCTCCGTGCGAGAACAAAACACCTCACTACACGAGATTGGGAGCATGTCAGGCTGGATTCTCGGCGGCCGTCGATAAGGTAAGGACCGGATCACAAACCCATGCCTTCACCGACAGCATAGAACACGTTTCATATGCAGGAGCGATGTCGTCAATTAATCAGAATCGTGGAGCTGTTCGGATTACTTGATTCGAAAAACAGCCGGAGGAGTTCCCAGCGACCCATCGGCTCAGACTTGCAGCGAGGAAGCTCCGCCAGAAGAAAGCCGGGCAACGGTCTCGATTGTAGTGGCTGACATGTGTTTTCGATTGCAGAAATCTGGTCAGGTTGTGCTCGGCGCTGTCGGAGCTTACCAGTGGCAAGGAGCCGGTTACTCGTACGACATCAATGTAAACAGTTTAGCGGCAACCGACAAAAAGTCTCAAGCTTTCGATGATAACTACATGGGATACGCCACTGCCATAGGAGAATTCACCGGAGACAATCAGCCGGAAATCGTTCTTGGAATACCCAAAGGAGCTCAATACAACGGAAGCGTCGAGTTCTATTACCGCGAAAAAGACAAACTCCGAAAACTGGGTTCCAATCTCATTGGTCCCCAACTAGGGTCTTACTTCGGATCGTCATTAGCAGTGAGCGATTTGAATGGCGACGGCCTCCACGACCTCATTATCGGGGCTCCGCTTTTCAATTCCGACTACAAAGGCCAAGGAAATCCGGGCGAGCAAGGACGAGTGCACATTTTCTATCAAGTGGGCAACTTGGAATTCCGCGAGGGAACTCCGCTCGAGGGAACCATTCCAAAGGGAAGATTCGGTTTCTCAGTAGCAGCCATCGGAGACATCAACAAAGATGGCTATAACGGTGAGGGGCAATTGGAGGGGTCGATGTGAGAATAATTGTGGAATAGAGGGAAAGGGTCCCCAGGATTAAATCAATTTCTCCATCTCTTAGATCTCGCTGTGGGAGCTCCGTATGCCGGCGACGGTCTCGTGTACATTTTCCATGGTGGCGTGAACGGTGTCTCATCCAAACCTGCTCAAATATTCGGCCCGGAACAGCTCAATCGCAAACTACGAACATTCGGTTTTTCGATCAGCGGCGGATTCGATCTCGATCGTAACGAATACCCCGATTTGTTGGTTGGAGCCTACGCCAGCGACAAGGCCGTCTACTTGAGAAGTCGTCCGATTGTCAACATCGCTGTTGAGCTCAAACTCGACTCGAAAGCTATTCGTCTCGAAGATGAAGGTTGCTCGCTGCCCGACGGAACAATGCTGCCGTGGTAAGCCCGGACCCGAAGTTTTTCGAGGTTACGAGATCAGTTGAAGGAAGCGAATAATTTCACTCTATTCGAATTAGTGCGGCTCTCGCGTGTTAAAATGTTTCTACAGCCGTGAAGTATATTCATGCGTCTTTCCCCCGACAGCGTCGGAATCCAGCTTTGCTTTCGATACGACGGCCCTGTCAAGGCAAGCAGTTTGGACCTCGAGTACCAGATTGTCCTGGATACCGAAGCTCGGTGAGACTCGGAACTCTTTTATACAATAATTCATTAAGCTCTTCTAAAGCTATCGGTTTCGATCAACAATCGGATACATCCACCGAATCTATTCATTGAGGAGATTGTCATTCCCCCAGGAATTCTCGTGCAATGTTCGAAGGCGGTCAAGATAGATTAATTAACTCGACAGTGACTCTGGTGAAGGGTTCCCATCAATGCGTGAATAAAAAAGCCGTCTTCAAGGTTAGTTTGAAGTAGTTCCGTACTCAATGCGCATCAATCACGCATCGACCAGAATTTTCGGACTCCCTTGCTATTCCATGCTGTCTTCTCAGATTTTCTCAAAGCTTCCTCGTCCATTCTAGCGAAATCCTTCCGACAAACTCTCTCCGATCAAAATAAACGCGACATACGCTCTGGTCCAGGATCGTTACGCGCCTTACCAAGTGAGTCGATGTCATTGATGTCAACTCGTTGATTACTGGCGCGAATTCGAGTTTTGATGCCTGCTCCCACTACCCTCTCGCATGAGAATCGGCTGCCTGTGTGAGCTTGTCGGACAAAGAAAACTACTGTGTCTCTCGGAAAAACCCGATATGGACCGTGGAAACCGCGCGCATTTAGCCGCAACGGCTCCAGCCGGACGCAGAGCTCTACGTCGAGACGGGTGCTCGCTGGGGACCGGATTCGCTCCCATATGCCTTGTTTATATTTCCATTTATGTATTCGAAGAGAAGAGGCGGTAGCGTCTACGAATGAATTGAATCAGAATCTCGAATTTTCATCAGATCCGCGATTATTCCGCCGAATTGAGTCCTGTTCTGTCGAGTGTCGACCCGCTCGAAGAGTCCATACAGATCAAGAAGAATTGTGGAAGCGATGACGTGTGTATTCCGGACTTGCAGTTGACCCTATCTCCGTGAGTACATGTAGCCTTCCCATGATTCCCTCAGTTTGGAACTTTATGCAGGAAACGCACAGGAATCGCGCTGAAATTATCGGCGGTAAATATCTATCGGATTGAGAGAATTTCTTCGTTTCGCCCCCCAGCAATGTGACTGAGTATGAGGTTGGAAGTACACGAACGTTTGCGGTTGAGGTATCAGCGTCAAACAAGGGGGAAGACGCCTTCAACACGAAAATGCTCTTTACTTTCCACAACGATCTCGATTTCGTCAAGGTGAGTGCTCCCCCTTCCTGATTCAGGACTTTGAACCATTCGACGTCCATCACCCCGGAGAAGGGGGCGGTGGCCCACGCCACGTTAGTTGGTCATGAGAATATCCTTGGAATGCTTCGACGAGATTCGTGACGAAGTTTTCCCTTCCTTTCTTCCGGTAAAGGTGGACAAGGACAACCGCGAAGATCCGGTCGCATGCGAAGCTCCAAAATGGGTATCTTCGTTTTCCCAGCAAATTCTCTGCGATCTCGACAATCCGCTCAAAGCTCAAGACACGGTAAGTTTCAGATATTCGCAGAGGTCAAAAATCGCAAGGCATATTCGCTCGAGGGTCTTCTCGATCTTCAGCACTATATAGATTCGATCAGGATCTAGTCCGGAAACGAATCGAATTTCATGGTCTTGTGGCTTCCAGTTGAATTTCCGAATGGTTTTCGCCGCCAATGGTCATGTTCCTTCTGTGACGTCACTTGATTTCGCTGCCGCTCTCAACTCGACAAACGAGGAGTCTGAGTCTACTAAAAGAGACAATGAGGCCTCATTCACATTGCCTGTTAAAGTCAGGATCAACATCTCCATCTCTGGGTGGGTTTCTCGCTAGCTCGCACTCCTTAGAGTTATTTTCGTCTCGCTTCTCAACTCTGTCAGCTTACCATGGTTCATGGGAGAGAGCGGATTTCTCGGAGATCGATGCTGCGGTTTAGGAAAAGGGCTCATGACGTGACAGGAGCACGATGAGTCGCGGTTCCGAGAATCACGATCCCCAAAACCTTCCTGCATCATGATGGCCTTCGACTTTTGAAGACGCGTATCCTGACGCGTATCCTGACGTGTTCAGCCTGATAAGTACCAGTTGATCTCGCGAACTAAATCTCTAATTGAGCCCACCCGTTCCAATCTGCCCGCAGAAAGTCTGAGCCGACGGAAGTTTATTACAACTCGTCAGCGATCGATTTGGATGAAGTCATCAACGTAGACTACAGGGTGGGACCGCCGATTCAACATGTGTACCAGATTACGAACAAAGGCCACGATCTCGATCTCGCCGATCTCTACCTGGTTTGGCCCACGCATAACAACGACAACGAGCCTTTGTTATACATGTTCGAAGAGCCCACGTTCAAAGCATCGAGACCGGCTTTACTCGAGTGCGAATCGCCGGAAAATTTCGAATTCAACGCCAATAAGCGTGAGTTTCATCGCCAGTCCACGGAGAGTCACAACGATGAGCGGATCCGCATAAAAGATAGTCGATTGAAAAGTGCCTATCCCGAATACGATTTGTCTATTCCAGTGTACGTGCAACCTGTTGCAAACAAGACCAGGCACATCAGGGACCTAACTCGGTTCCGGGAGGATATCGGATGCGGTCAATTGTCTAAATGCGCGCAGTTTCGATGTAGGGTGAGTTGAGGCTGTTGTTCCGGGAGTCGCATTTGAGCTCTCCATTGCGTGAGAGAACGACTAAGGCGGTTCATTTCAGATACGGAACTTCACGTCTTCTGATGTGATTATTGTCACTGCCAATTCGCGATTATGGCTGCAGAGCGTCGCGAAGGTATGACCATCCTGGCCGTCTCATTCTGATCATGTGCTGAAGCGGGAATTCGCTACCGCCAGCTAGAGAATCGTCTGTCCGCTCCTACGCGCACCGGAAATATCTTCTAAAGATAGTCGTTTTCCCAGATGAAACAAATGGAAACAAGCATCGCGTCGAAGCTCGTAGTCAAGCCCGTCAAACTTCGATTCGACGTCCGGTCGGAGCTACCACATGAGATACTCTACGTAGAAACAGTAGCTATAGATGAAGATTTACTGCCACTGCCAACAATTCCCTGGTGGGTGATCGTCTTGGCGATAGTTATCGGAATTTTGTTATTATCGCTCCTCATCTGGATACTCTACAAGGTCAGTGTAATCTGTTCGTGTGTGATATACCGAAGTTTCGCAGAGAGAGGAAAAACACGGTTTTTCGGAACCTTTTTCGTCTCAATAAACATCTTCGAAAATGAACGGAATGTCGGAGTTGATGATTATTGCACAGTGGAACGAATATTGCATCCGAATCATGACTCTGATGATCTCCACAGGCTGGCTTCTTCCGACGGAAACGTCCTGGAGAACCGATCGACGGGAGAGGCACAAAAAACGGATACCACACGGTGGAGCAAATTCCAAAACAAGATCACTACTGAACGTCGTTCTTCAAGATACCATTCACTCTCTGGAAAGTTTTTCACCTATTTGTACATACGCCGGTTCAGGCTCTTTCCGATTCGATGCTCGTTGAATCAAGTAAGCAATGAGAAACAAGCGATCCGTAACCCATCATTTGGAGCTAGCAAGTGTTTATGTATTGTATGGAGCTTTGTAATAATTATTAATAACTTAATAATAAACATAGAACGGAAAGTCAATCTGGAACATTTTCCCAACCACGTCTCCTCGATCGCAATTTGCTCCGACGGAGTTCAGTTCCGCGAGACAGATTTCCACCGGCGGAACTCTCTACCCTCTACAAGATCAAGCAGCCTTGAGCGACTGCGAGCTCAGACTCGACGGTCGCCGCCGATACGATTAGCGATTCGTTGAACGTCTCGAGGCTCGGATGCGTTTTTCGGAGTGAGCCGATCACGTGAAAATATCGAGCAAACACCTCACAGATGAATGACCCTCCCGAATCCGCGGAGCCGTTAGGGTGGATGCACGGGAGCGACTCCGAATTCACAGATTTCGATACCTTCTCATTCGGGACGAAAATCATTCTGTGAGGCAGTGGCTCACTCAATTCTATGATGAATCATTCACAGCCTTCCGTCCCTAATTGACATGCTGGGAGCGAGTCGAGGCCCCTTCCCGATTTCGTCGTTGTGGAGCCGGATCGTGGAGGATGGGCACCACTCCGAAGCTGATGGTGGGAGCTCCCATCGAAAAACAGATTCCTTTCAAATATATCAAATATATCCGACTTGACGATCAAATATCAAAAATTACACTTATGTGGGCACAGCACATTACCAGGCACCGAAGATTCTGAAGAAGGATGAATACGGGAGGGAAGTCGACTGGTGGGCCACGGGCGTTATATTCTACATACTCATGTATAATAACTTATTATAAGGATGCTTATTACTAATAAGCATCCTTTCGCGAAACTCGACTGGCAGCCCCTCCAGGTTGTGGATGCTGTCAACAGCGTGGCGCTCAGATTCCCCCCGGAAGTCGACGCCAATTCTCAGGAGCGCAGATTCTTGAGCGGTCTCCTCGAGAAGGACAGCAGTTAAACGACCCGGGGGCATGATCGGCGGCGCTCGGGATGTCAAACGACAACCGTGGTTGGATGACATATCGTTCGTGGAGATCCTCGACGGGAGAATGATATTCGATCCTAGGCCCAAGAGACCGCAAAGAATGAACCGCTTCCCTTTCCTCCCGATTCCCGGCGAAGAGGACCCCGGAGCGGAGGAATTCCGGAGTTTTTGAGCTTTTGCGATATTCCGCAGAGCAATCCCTACAGACTAGAAGTATGATACATCTGATTGAGATTATTCTAAACCGACTCGCAGTAATTAGTCGAGTCGGGGGATTAGCTCCCGAGAACTCGACGCATGTTCGAGAGAGCGTCGCGAGACGAGAGTCCCGCCTCAAGAACCGGGTCTCCCGACCGTTCGCACGGACAGAAAGAGAACAATTATCTTCTACTGCACTTTACTCTCGATCTTCATTAATAATGATATGATTATTTATCATGATCATAGTAAAAACCGTGGGGATCCATTCACAGAGACAGGGACAATGTTTTCTCGACGTAAGCTGGAGGACCTTTGTCAAAAAGAGCTCCATATCCTCTCAATAAACGAGCGAGAGGATAAGAATGCCGCGGAATAAAATGATGAGCTCACGGTGCCGAGAATCTAGAGCTCCTCTTGAGATTCGGGAAGCCTTGGATAGGCCTCCCCCGGAGCTCCGAAGGGTTGCAGACCGCTGATCGGCAAAAACCGAAAGAAACGCGCCTGATCGACATAGAGCGCGGTCAAAAGAAAGGCAGGTATGAAAACGCGGGCGTCATACACTGACGAGTTGACTATGTGACTATTTAGAGGAGAGGATAACGATGTCAAAATCCGGTTCTTGGTTCGGGAATCTCATACGGTCGATTCGCGCCGAACCAGTCGAGGGAATCAGAATACAGAAAGGTCTTGACGCCGCAATAACCGACCCGAAGCACGTCGACGCTCTTTTACCCCATGACCCCGAAGAGGAGAAGCGATGGAACCGACAATACAAAGAAAACCTTGGAGGAGTGCATATATGGGTAGACGCTAGGTTCGAGGCCAATGTATGTCCGAGAGAAAAGATAGAGAATTTCGAAATCCTCGGCCATCTCGGACGCGGCGCATTCGGACATGTGTACGCCGTCAAGTACCGCGTTGACCACAGACTCTATGCTTTGAAAGTCCTCTCGAAAGCACATGTATTCCAAAGATCGTTCGTACCCTGGGCAATATCCGAGAAAAAAATGTTGAACGCTGTGGAAAACAAGTTCATCGTCAAACTGCATTTTGCATTCAAAGATCGCAAAAACCTTTATATGGTCATGGACCTAGCATCTCGCGGGGACCTGAACAGACTGCGAGAAACCAGTCTACCGGAGATGACGGTGAAATTGATTATAGCCCAAATAATTCTCGGCACGGAGTACTTGCACGCTTGTAAGATCGTTCATCGAGACCTGAAACCGGACAACATATTCATTTTCGAGGATTGCTTCATAAAAATTGGAGACCTAGGATTGGCAAAGAGGCTCAAGGGTCGGACTTATTCTTTGGCCGGGACCATCGGCTACATGGCTCCTGAAGTCATCGGAACAGCAGGATACGGAATCGAAGTCGACTGGTGGTCCATCGGGATCATTCTCTATAAGCTCGTCTATCTGAAGCATCCCTTCCCGAAGCAGGGTGGGACCCCGAAACAAAGGCTCGCAGCCATCACAGGCACAAAATTGGCCTTTCCTGAAGTGATCTATCCCGGCTCCTCGGTGAACGATCTTTTGAGGGGCATGCTCACACTCTCTCCGCGCTTCAGGCTCGGCTACCTCAAGGGAGGCTCAGACGATATTAAAGATCACGAATGGTTCCGAAACATATCTTTCTGTGAAGTTGCGAGGAAAGCCGTGCGTGTCGAGCTAGACCTCACCCCCCTTATGCCTGTACCTTCGGAAGTATACGAGTTTCTCCCCACAGAAAAAGATGACGACATATTGCCTCATCGTTTCCTGGAATTTTAGCGCGCCTGGTCGTGCTGCGCTCGGAATCCGGCTCGGGGAGAAGGCCGTTCGAGGTCGAATGAACCTGAGGGTTTAGGCTCCGAGAGGCGCCTGACCTCATCCAAATTGGAATATAAATGACTTAGCATTCATATGCTGACCGCGACACGGACCCGATTACCCATTACAGCTTAGGATTCCCGTCTCCAACTTTATGATTCCTGAAGTTTTCCGACTTATCATAGATTACAAGAGTTTCCGGATGGGGATCCGGATCAAGACCGGCCAAGTCTTCTCCTCGGCTGCAGCGCCGTTTATCGACTTAAGACGCATCCGAACCATTCGCTGAGGATGCGCGCACGCGGGATCCTCGTTCCACGGAGTAGGAAAGCGAATCGATTGCGGACGAATCCAACAGTGACGTTTCTCGCGAGGAAGAGTCCTTCCCTTCCTCACCTTGGAAAACTCACGCCGCGCTGACGTTCGGTCGACGGTCCCGGACTCCCTTTTGTCCACGGCTCTTCAGCTTTCCCGCATAGGCTCGACTCCACTAGAAAAAATGTAATTCGCGGAAGTTTAGCGCAGATGGCGGCATGAAGCTATGAACGGATTAATAACGCTCTTGAACGATGGAGACGTCCGAAAAGTTATATGAAAAATCATAAGGCGAGGTCACTCGGGATACCAGCTGCTGCCTTCCGACCAACTGGTCGAAATCCAATCGATGGTACGAAAGCGAGACATAAAAAATGACTCGAACCAAGTTGGATAACGATGGGCCAGAAATGGTCGAAACTCCTCAACATTTTCAGGGATCTCCTATTCGGTCCAATACCTAAGTTAATCGACCACGAAGAGGGCGTGTGGACGGATGTGGAAGAATCTTTCAATGCTCGTTATGAGCGAAACCTCAAAAGTCAGAAGCGACAGCAAAAAGAAAGATTCGCAGGGAGGGCTTGTCCCAAAGAAGAAATAGGGAATTTTGTCATCCTAGGTCATCTTGCGTCCGGCGCGTTTGGGGAGGTTTTCAAAGTCTATAAACGCGACAACCACACGAACTACGCCCTAAAAGTTCAACCTAAGCGTCTGTTCCCCACCGCTCAACGAGCACAAGAAGCCATTTACGAGAAGGAGCTGCAATATTCTCTGGACAGCGAATTCGTGGTCAAACTGATATACGCTTTCCAAGATATCGAGAACCTCTACCAGATCATCGAGTACGCGCTCTATGGTGATCTGATGAAAATCTTCGCAGAGTGTAACTCAGAGTGGACTACCAAGTTTTACGCTGCTCAAATTATCCTGGGAGTGGAGTATTTACACGCATGCAATGTCATACATCGCGACTTGAAACCTGCAAACTTGTTCATTTTCGAGGATATGTATTTGAAGATAGGGGATTTCGGGGGAGCGAAACAAGTGAAGGGACGAACCTACACCTGGGTCGGAACACTGCGATACATGGCTCCGGAAATGCTGGACTCTGCGGGCCACGGGAAAGAAGTCGATTGGTGGGCCGTGGGCTTACTGCTGTACGGGGGCTTATACGGGGAGCTTCCATTCTACCGCAAGGGATTCCGCAGAAGTCAGATCATGGATGCCATCAGACACGTGAGCCTGACTTTTCCGGAGTCTGTGGAGAAACATCGGCCGGTCAATCGGCTCATCAGCGGTTTGCTCAATAAGAAGCCCCACAAACGGCTAGGTTCGCTCCGCAGAGGGGTGCAGGAGATCAAGCGCAACGCATGGTTCAGCGATATTTCGTTCTCTGATGTTTATTCGAAGAAAATCAGATTCGTGGCGAATATTGACCCTGTGAGACCGAAAGTCACCGGACGCTACGAGTTCCTCTATCGACGAACTGACGACAATCCCGATCCGGATCGTTTCGCCGGGTTTTGATCTTTGACGGAAGTTCCTTCGGTGAAGCTTGTCGCTAGGAGCGGAGGCCGCGTGTGTGCGAGAGACCGAGGAAAAATCGCGAGGAAATAAATTGAGGTGCTCGAGACCAAAAACAGCGGAGAGACCTCCGGATTATCATTGAAGGATTCCCAGAGAATCTTCCTACGCGGAGGAAGCCTCTAATCACCGAGCCGGAGCCGTGTTTTTCAAATCTCGAGATTCTGTCTCTATGATCCTTTGCGCAGAATCGGGACCGAAACCTCCGCCCCGATGACGAGCTTCAAGTTAGACGATTGAAATTGATACCCTCGAATGAGATTGAGAACATGATAGAGGTGGGCGTCCCCCGAGGAAGGAGTTTATTCGTTCTTGTCCTGTTCATGCAAACCGTGATCAGCTCAGGAGATGGCCAGCTCTGGAAGTGACCGTGAGAGAATTAATATCGATTGGAGAGGAGGGTCTCAGGCCGCCTGGAGCTCAGAGCTCACAGCTCCCTGGACTGCCGATGCCGTCCGCATATCGAGTCGGCAGAGCATGCTCAGCATCGGTGGATGTCGTCGGCTGAGATCCCGCTGAAGTCCGCGGAACATAATTGCAAGCTGCATCGAGGCAACATTCTCGCTCAAAGAATGCGTCTGAGGCAAGAAAATACTTTCAAAATGCAAGCATGCGAGTTGCTTGGGGCCACCAAATTCAGACAATCAAAATTGAACAACGATGGGCCAAATCGTCACGAGAATTTCGGATTTTTTCCACATGAGCATCAACGCCATCAGGTATCGAGCGCTCGGATACCGTCCCACGTGGATGTCGAGGGAGGAGATCCTCCTCCTGGAATACAAAGCAGAGCTTGCGGCGCAAGAGACTCTGATGATGGCGAGAATCAGAGCGGACGCGTGTCCCAGAGAGACTCTGGATAACTTCGAAATCTTGGGCTACGTCTCATCTGGCGGTTTCGGGCAAGTATACAAGGTCAAACATCGGGTAAATTCCACTATTCATGCTCTGAAAGTCCAGCCGAAGAGCGTGTTCAACAGCCGGTCACGTGTCGAGAGGGTCATCCATGAGAAGAAGCTGCAATTCGCCTTGAGGAACGAATTCCTAGTCGGAGTCTCTTCCGCGTTCCACGATGCTCGAAATCTTTACCTAGTTATGGAATACGCATGTTACGGCGACCTCAGAAGGGCGCTCACGGCACTCTCGAGTGGATGGGCCGTGCAATTCTACACCGCGCAGATAATTCTGGGAGTGGAGTATCTACATGCGTGCAATATCGCTCACCGAGACCTGAAACCGAATAACATATTCGTGTTCGAGGATATGTATCTGAAAATCGGCGATTTCGGTCTTGCGAAAAGAGTTCCCGGCGTGACTTACACCCAAATCGGAACGCCGAAATACATGGCTCCAGAAATGTGGACGTCGAACGGCTACGGCAAACAAGTGGACTGGTGGGCTGTCGGCATCATCCTCTACGAAAGTTTATACGGAGAGCATCCTTTCGTTCGACGTCACTGGGAAAAACCACAAATCATCGAGGGCATCAAGCACGCGGATCTGATCTTCCCCCATGTCGTCGACCGCGAAACGCCTGTGAAAAAGCTGATGCGCGGCTTGTTGAATAGGAAGCCCAATGAACGCCTCGGTGCACTCACGCAAGACATCGACGATATGAAGCAGAACGATTGGTTCAAGAGCGTTTCTTTCTTGGATCTTTATCAAAAGAAAGTGAGATTTGGAGGGGACCTATCCCCTGTGAGACCAAAACAGCGCGAGCATTACGATTTTCTCGATCAACCGGATCAGAACGATAATCGGGCTGATGTAGACGTTTTCGAAAATTTCTGACGCGCACAAGAGCGCTCGAGTTCCCTTCGCGCCAGGATGAGCCGTGGAGATTGAGCTTCGATCCCCGATTGGGAAGCTCGCAATGAACTTTCGAACGAAATGCGATAACGATGAGTTGGTTTGAATTCTTCAGGAGACTCCTCGGCCGACAGAGAGCCCAACTCGAAGAGGAACGCCCCATCCCAAATGTCGTGGAACAAGAAGACGAATTCAACGTCCGATACAGAGAATATCTCCGTACAGCCGAGCGCCAACAGAGTACGAAATTCCGGGAGAATAGGTGCCCGAAAGAACAGCTGAGCAACTTCGAAATATTGGGTTACCTCGCATGAGGTGGCTTCGGAGAAATCTTCAAGATTCGTCAACGCTACAACAAAAGGCCCTACGCTCTGAAAGTGCAGCCTAAAAGCGCTTTCAACGAGCCAGAGACTATTGACAAGGTCATCCAAGAGAAACAGTTACTTTGGTCTTCGGATAACAACTTCATTGTCAAGCTGCACTACGCCTTCAAAGATATCGAGAACCTGTATCTCTTGATGGAATATGCCACGTACGGTCATTTCCTCAGATGTCTTGGAGGCTGTCGAACCGTATGGGCGAAGAAGTTTTACATAGCCCAAATCGTACTAGGAGTCGAGTATCTGCAGTCCTGTAACATCGCGCACCGAGACCTCAAGCCGCTGAACTTGTTCATTTTCGAAGACTTCTATCTGAAGATCGGGGATTTCGGGCTAGCCACAAAAATTATTGACCGTGCGTACACTCAGTGTGGAACTCTAGCTTTCATGGCACCGGAAACTCTCTCGTCGGATGGTTACGGGAAAGAAGTTGATTGGTGGGCGGTTGGCATAATAATCTACTTCACTCTATACCTCGAGTATCCGTTCAGCAAGCCCGAGTGGGACAAAAGGAGAACTATCCGCAGCATACTCAAGGACAACTTGAGCTTCCCAGCCGGCAATCCCAAATCACACGAGCGAGGGCTTATCGAGGGGTTGCTCCACAGGAAACCTCTGAGACGGCTTGGTGCACTTTGCAAGAATGCAGACGATATAAAAAATAATCGTTGGTTCGATGACATCTCTTTCTTCGAAGTCTATCGGAAGAGAATACGATTCACGCCGGAAATCGATCCCGTGCAGCCGAGAGAGAGTAGCCGTTATGACTTCATTTGGCGCAGGACAGATGAACATGTTAACCCGGACCGCTTCATTGGCTTCTGACAACTTATCTGCTCCTCGGGCCCGATTTTAGAGACAACAAAATCATGACGAGAATAGTTCCGGCGCCGAGCCGGGGATCGTACCTAAGTATCTGACTGCTCAGACTCGAATAAAAATGTTCACCCGGAGCAGCTCCAACTTGGCTTTTGAGTCTCGAGTCTAGGCTCTCGAACTCTCGAGTGGATAGGAGGCTTCGATTCAGTTCCCGGGTGAGCATTAGGTCTTTTCTCGGGGCGTTCATCCAGCGCACAACCAAATGAGCGGCGGAAAGAATTATTGTTGCTCGTGTCCGCCCCTTTTGAGTGCGGAGCTCGGAGCCCCTTCTGGTGTCCATTGGTCATAAAGGGAAGCCATGGAACATCGAGTCTATCTTACGTTAGACTGATGGAGCTATCAAGCGTCCTGGCTCTCGCAGTATTTCCCTAGGTAGGGCTCGATCGAATCTTTGCATGGGGCTGGAATCCAATTTTATGACCTCTCAGCATCACGAACGAAGAAGACGCGAGGGAGCTGAAGATCCTAGACCCCCACCCCCTCCTTCCTCCCGCAGCGGACGCGCCTGATCTTGAGCCAATCTAATGGATGAAATCCGAACTTTGTTGGAGTATCATCGGAGGTCTCCCTCTTTTGCGATCCGGAAGTCGACAAACGAAAGTCGTCAAGTGTAATGCTCGACAGATCGTTGCCGTGCTCGCTGAGCATGCCCGCTCACCAGAGGCAGGGGGTCTGGAGTTCTGGAGCGGACTAGCCTCAATCGCCCTCATGAAAACGGCGTAGCGCCACGCGCCACCCGCATCCACCTGCGACTGAATAGCTGAGTGAGATGTTACCGATGATCGGAAACTCCGATTTTGAGCTCAGAGCCCCCGTCGGATTGAGGTTCGGCTCAGCACTCCCTTCTCGACCCTCGACTCATCGAAAAGCTGATGATCTTGTGTCGAAGCGGCGACAACAACGATGGGATCCATATAGGCGAAAATTTGCTACACAGAACACGAAACCATAAAGAAAATTCACCCACCTGCTATTGCTGGAATGAGTCGATCTCCGAATGGAAAATAACGATGGGTAATCGCCTCACCCGACCCTTTCGAAGGAGGAACCTTCCCGCGATAAGGGAAAAATCGAGGCCAACGGTCCGGAACCGGGCATCGGAACCGAGTGGAGGCTCAGAAAGCCGGCCGACTGATCGTGACCGAGCAGCCAAAGAGTTTCTGGACCGATACAGGGCGAACCAGTGCCCACGGGAAGTGATGTCGAATATACGGATTCTCGGCTACTTGTCAACCGGATCGTATGCTTCCATCTTCAAAATCATTCACCTTCCGAATCGGCAGAAGCGAGTGCTAAAAGTTCTTCCCAAGGAAAAGTTTCGCACCGATTACAAGAAACAGAGAGTAGTCCTCGAAAAATTGATTCAATTCGCCGCGCAAAGCCAGTTCGTAGTCGCCATGTATTTCGCGTTCGAAGACCACCTGAATTTATATCTAGGCATGGAGTACGCGAAATATGGAGACCTCTCGAGATTTGTCCGGCCGGTCGTCACCGAGAGATTAGCCAAATTATTCCTGGCCCAGATGATCTTGGCAATCGAGTATCTACACCGGTGTCAGGTCGTGCACCGTGATTTGAAATTAACGAATTTCTTCGTTTTCAATGATGGCTACATAAAGCTCGGAGATCTCGGTTTAGCTAAGCGCATCAGTGATCGAACCTATACGGCTTTCACGGCGACTCCCTACGTGGCTCCGGAAATGCTGACGTCGGATGGCCACGGACGCGGTGTCGATTTTTGGTCCCTGGGTATAATATTATACAGGATGCTTTATAACAAGCATCCGTTCGTTGATGAGAACTACCAAGACCAGCAGCTCATTGACGGAATTCGAGCAGGAGTCGTGAGGTGGCCCTCAGGTGTCGATCGCGATTCTGCAGCAGCTGAATTGATCAAGAGCCTGCTGAAGACGAGGGCTGCCGCAAGACTCGGCAACTCTAGATTAGGACTCGCTCAGTTGAAGAGGCACAAGTGGCTCGCAGAAATCTCGTTCCAACGCCTCGTCCGCAAAGAAATTCGATTCGAGGTTAATCTCACCTCAGTGCGCGCCAGAAGGGCGGGCGATTTCAGACCGGCACCAGCAGGGCAAGCCTATGATGAAGAAGAATTCCGAGGCTTCTGAATCCAATCTCGAACTCTAGGACTCTGTAATAGCTCATCGCTCTGAACAGCGGTCGAGGGACTTACAAAAAAACTTATTCATTGGGGAAAACATCGAGTTCTTGACACGTTTTTCCTCCTTATTACAAACACTCATCTCCCGCGGAACTGATCATGATGATATCCGAGGGCGATTCCCAATACCGGACTCTACCTCCCGGCTGGAGGGAGAATGCTGGGAGAAGCTGAAGAAAGCCGCACCAGCGCCTCGGAATTCGCTCATTGTAGCGAGTTCTACCTGGGAGAGTTCTGGGAACATTGACGTCTGTTTGCATCGTTGGTGATTGCTAACGCAATATTCGGTATTCCAGAGTACGACTGCTCTATGCTAGAATCTTCGGCGGGGTAATCGATTTTGCTCAAATGGCCATCGGGAAGAAATTTCTTCCTCGCTCTCACTCAGTCAATGCGACATACCTGAATATGGCGTCGTCGCGTCGTTCCATCGGATCGCTCTCAGAGTTCCCAAATGCAACGGAGTTCATTGTCTCGGGCTCCGAAAAATCGGAATCACGTCTTGAGCACAGGAAAATAGTCCCGCTCCGAGTTCCGGAAAAGCGGGCAGCACCGATATCCGGCTAATGGGGTACCTGCGGAGGAGGGACTTCGACGATATCGGGGTTCCAGAGAATCGACTTATTAAGACGGAGTTTCTCATTTTTTTCCACTCCCGAAACACATGCGAACGATCCCGCTGACCCGCTGCTATTGGAACATTCAGGGCCCTCAGGAGTCGATCTACGCGTTGACCGACAGGGTCAAAGTAAGGGGGTCTGAGGTAGTCGCGTGAAATTCCTCGAAACCGGATAAAATCATTCTGGCTCGCACCGCAAGATCTGGTGATTTGTGCCTTCGCTCTACATCTGCGGCGGATCACCGACTGGAATGAGGTCTTACCGGAAGGATAACGATGGGGAATGGATCGTCCGTGAGAAATTTGGGACAGAGTTTAGCGAGATTCTCGAGGTGGTCGACGAGGGCGCTGACGTGCGGGAGCTCATCGGTGGTCAGATCAAGGGACGGGAGCTCCGACGTCGACTATGAAGATCACCTCCGGAGACTTGGAACTGCGAATGATCGTATGAAACAATACTGGAAGAATGATGGTTGTCCAAAGGCGAAACTCAAACATTTCCGAAACCTCGGTTGTCTCGCACGCGGGACATTTGGAATCGTCCACAAAGTGCAACATCTTAGAACCCGCAAGGAATTCGCGTTGAAACGTCAATTCAAAGAAATTCTGCGACGAAAGAACAACCAGACAAGACCGGGAGTGGAGAGGAGATTGCAATGGGCAGCGAAAAACCGCTTCATCGTAGGACTGGAATACGCATTCCAGGACTCCCAGAACCTATACCTCGTCATGGAATATGCACCGTACGGTGACCTCGCGGAAGCAGTGAGCCGGAGTCCCCTTCCTGAGAAGCAGACAAGACTGGCCTCAGCTCAGATAGTGTTAGGTCTCGAGTTTCTCTTCGCGAGCGGGATATGCCATCGAGATCTGAAGCCTCTGAACATTTTTATTTTTGAACGTGGTATTTTGAAAATCGGGGATTTCGGCCTCGCCAAGGCGATGAAAAAAGGCGAACTTACGCATACGATGCTTGGAACTGAACGATACATGGCTCCAGAGATGTTCAGCTCGATGGGATACGGCACAGCCATCGACCTTTGGGCTCTCGGTGTCCTGATCTTCGAGTGTCTGTACGACGAGAACCCCTTCACTGACGAGCAGCGGAAGCAACTGCAGTGTAAGGAACCCGACAGAAAAGTATCGCCAGGTTTCCCCTCCGACGTGCCACGAGACTCTCCAAATCGTGACTTCCTTTGCGGCTTGCTTGAACTGGACCCGAAACGCAGACTCGGCGTCGGGGGGCAAGACTTCAGGGCGCTCAAGGAGCACGCGTTCTTCCGAGGCATTTCATTCGAGCGCGTCTATTCCCACGAATTGACAATAAATGTTAGAGTCGAACCCGTAAAGCCGAAAGAACCGACACAGGAAGACAGAGAATGGCCGCAGTTCGATGACAACTATGACCCAGAGGAGTTCCCGCTGTTCGACTGATGCGACAAAACGGGACATACATACATAAGTACATCTGGTTTCAAAATTCAAGAAAGATGAAAAAATCGTTTTCTTGGGTGACGATATCGCTTTTCTTCGTCGACAAGCCTGTCGATTCCAGTGACCAGGGGAAGGACATCGTCCGGAAGGAATCTTCCTTGGAAGAAGGGAAGGGAAAATCTAGTCGAAAATAAAATACTTGTCGCTCGGACTTTGACTCGGAGGAGCATATCATTCTCATCCATGATGTTTCCATAACTAGAGAACTGTTATGCCGTGGGGCAAGTGCGTCAGCCGATCGAACTTGCCGCGCGGTTTTCGATCCTGTGACTGCGCTCGCTGAGGGAACGCGGCGGCGCCGTCGTCACCAGCCTCCTTCCTTCAAAGTTTCGGGCTCCGCGGGCAGCCCTTGTCCGTCGAGAATCAATCGGAAGGTTTTGATGTATCGGGACCCGATCATGAGTCCAATGTGACGTCGAGCACCGTTTAGTTAGCACCGAGGAAAAAAAAAGTTGCAGGTGCCCTGCGTGTTCAGTTCTGACTCAAGAAGGAGACTCGTAGGACTGCGTCAGGGGCTTTTATTTATTCATGTGTGCAGAGAAAATTTGGTTAGTGATAACTGAAACATGTGTGATTCATTAAAATTTCGTGTCTGTTGATTTTCCTAACGAACGTGAAATCGATGCCGCCGACGATCTTGTCTGACTTGACATCCGTCTGTTGCGAGCGTCTGTTGTCGTTGTAATTCGATCGAGTCTCGCTTCGAAGTCGTCACAAATTGAACGCCTTTTGCCCTCTATATCAGGACATGTTTTTTAGGGCTCATAGTGGGGAGAAGATATTCTAACCACTCAGAAGGTCTACAGATAGCTCACGCTCGTCTTCGCGGTCTTTATTGCGAGCATCGGTCGTGTCGCGTTTCCCATTTCTCATTTTTCCTGTTTCCCTTTTCGTTTCTCTCAACAGACAGTGGTTTGGTAAAATACAGAGTCTCATTGGCATGGGCACCCCCCTTTGTTCCGATTGCAGCAGGTGAGTTTGTATGGTCAGTTTTTCCGGACTGGCAGAGGGCTCAGAGACTGGCCGCCCCATTTGCTCCCTGCGGGCAACACATTCCGGGCGGTTGCGGGGCCTGGGAGGTGAGCGCTCTCGAATGGCCTGCTCACGATACGGACGACGGGCCTCAGCATCCATGTCTGGCCAGATGAGTCCGGGTGTTGAGTCAGGGGTCTCCCTGACGATTGCGAAGTCAACATGGCGCTGGCCTGCATCCGTCGCAAGGCTCGGAAGTCGAGCACCACCCGTGCTCGTACCTGTACTGGCTCTCTCAATCACCCTGTTGAAAAGAGCGCGGGTATAGGGCCCCGACGTGAGGAATTGACTGAATGGCAGTACATGTTCCGAAGTAGTTATGTGTGCTTGTTGGAGCGTCCGCTGCGTTTCTCTGAACGGATTGACCAATGGCGGTGGCGGTCTGTGATACTCTTCTGGATAAGACTTCCTGATTGGTGGGCGGGTCTTAGTAGTTTCGATATCCGTTACACTAATGGACGACTACGTCTGCACCGATTGGGACAGGCTACCAAAATTTCACGCTCTCTCCCCTCCCATCATGAAACTCTTCCGAAAAGAACTGCGCCCTTCAAAAATGTTGAGATTGTTTATTTCTGGAGGAAAGAATGGGATTTCGCTCGCTTGGAGGGCCATATCCGAGGGATGTGACCTGTGACACAAACTCAATGATCTTTCTCCGATATCCATGGCTTATTCTTAGCGAAAATCTCTCGGAGGAACATTAGACCGCTGAAACTGGCATCACCCAAACTTTCGCGGGGATACTTTTTTGTGTGCCTCCCAACACTGAAGAGCCTTTCGGAAGAAAAACTGGCGGGAACGATACTTTTCAAAGTCTTGACCAAGTTTGATGGAAATGACTCCACCGTTCCTCGGTCGCAATGTTCTTCGTGGAGCTCCATTAGGGTACGGCACTGTGTTTCAGCCCGCCGACCTTTTGCCGAATCTCTTTCCTCTGGCGCAATATTCAGCCAGAAGAAACAATGCTTGATCAACTCGGCCTCGACTGTACTGCCATACGGAACGAGATTCGTTTTCGCCTGTGCTTTTTCTTCCTCAAAACCTCGATCGACTCTTCTGCCAAGACGTTTCTTCACATCCTCGCAACCTTCGGCGGGGAATAGATATCGCAGGCACTTGGAAGCAACTCCTCGACGTTGGATCATGCGGCGAGTAACGTTGTATTTCAGAAGGGAAGCGAATTCTGAGGTCGAGCCGTCAAGATCCGCGAGAAGCTTCTAGAATAAGTTCGGTCCCTTGGACTTAGCACCACGGAAATATTTTTCAGGCAGCAGGTCTCGAACTCCCGCCACTTCCGAGAGATCTCGCGGAGAGGAAGCGGCTTCTCACAGGGTGCTTCATGACCGATCGAGCTAGGAGGGGAACACGAGCTGCCCTCTCAACCAACGAGTTATCGTCGGTCAAAGACTGACGTTGTTAAGAAGGCGTACAAATATGGATGCATACATTCGTGTTTGTCCAAGGGCTTTTGAGAACCTCGCCAGGGTAGTGTCTGGGTCCGGGTCTGGCTCCCCATCGCCCATTTGTACGGCGCCAATGAGTGATGATCCGAAAATTGAAAATCGTTTCGCTATTTAGGCATAGGAAATATTACCTTTCGTCTTCTTGCGGAGAATCTACTCGTAAAATCTCCGTATCCGGAGGAAGCGACGCAGCATTTCGAGTGTACTATTCCAACGGATCTCACAATCGAGTTTCGGCCTCAGTTTGACCACGCTTCCGAGGGCAGAGAACCTCCTCGGTACTCTGAAGAGCTTCGAAATGTCTCGGACTTTTTGGATGACTCGAGAAAGCGCCGCCCCGTCTCTTCTTGGGATCTGGTCATCTGCTGAGTCCTCCTCACTGACGAGGTGCGGAGAGAGACCTTGAAATGTTTCGCTCACGGCGAGATGCAGGCCGTGAGCGTAGCATAAATGGTGGTAAAATGGCCTCGGAGCAACGGCCTCATCGATGAGCTTGCCTAAACGTCTCATCACGGCTGCACCTACAAATCCAAATTCACGCTTGGCTCGAAGCTATAACCGTCGCCGGCGGGTGGTTGAGTGTGGAGCGCGACTTCCACGTCTCGTGCGAGGTGCGTTTCAGTTTGATAGACGTCGGCGCCGCCTTTTTTCGTGAAAGGACACCCCTCGTACGAGAAAGCGGGGGTTCGATCCCGGCTGTCGGCGAGATATTCGTAACGGAAGCGCAGGTACCCGGCCCCGATTCTCCCGAATGTGATCGCTCTTTCGATCATTCGTCGGATGCTCTACCCTCTACCGGAAACGTGAAATCATAAACCCGAGGTCCAGCCCGGGGAAGCCTACAACGATGTCATTCCGTATTCATCACAAAAAAGAGTCTGAACGATGGGAGGCTGATTTTTCGGGGAAGCGTACCGGGCACCGCAGTGCAGAAACACTAGATCAGGAGGAAGTCCAAGTGTTGATGGACTCGCAGCTCGCAGACCATCCGTTTTACCATCCGACGTGAGGGCGGATATGTCCTCCAATGCAAGCCCCAGCTCTCCAAGCGCCGCTTTTAGAGTGTCCATCAGACCTTCAGCCGTGGAGTAATGGATCCGTCGGATGAGATTCACTTTTCGACTCTTGATCCTGGGTATGATTTCTGAACAGTAGATGGATATACCCAAGAATCCTTTGCCCCTTGAGGTCCACTCATATTCGAGCCCGATCATATTCCCGCTCCACACACTTCATGGCGATGCTCCTGTTAAGGACGCCGAGGCCCGCTTTTTGGACTATCATTTGGACGGTCGTGTCTGAGAAAGTGTTTGCCGTCATTGAGGTTGCTGACAGTAAATAAGCAAGGATCTTATCCCGGCACTCGTAAGTCAACTTCGACGTATCCAACTTCGAGATAAGAGCCGATGCCTCACTGCGTCGACAGGCCTCATTCTCAGACTTGACTTTATGGGAGTTCAGATGGCATCTCATGGCGCTCTTGCTATGTTTCCGATACGAAAGTCTTTTTTTCTTCATCCGACATTGTTCGTCTTTACACAGAACATGATTCATACATTTCAAGAGGTCAAAGTGTAGCCAGAGAGCGTCATCTGCTAGTTGGATATCCAGTTTGCCAGTCTTCCAGGGGGAAACGCAAAAATATAAGAATTTTCGAGTCATCGCATTGGATTGGATCACAAACCGGAAGACTTCTTGGAGCGAGTTCGGTTTCCGTGCATCTCCCGGTCGTCATACAATCGCTCGATTTTGAGGGTCCTCTCGACACGAAAGGGGTCACGGTGAGTCTCGCTC